GCACGCGCAAGAGCGCACCAGGCAAGTTGAATGAACCTCGGCTCAAAATGCGGATCTCGCTGCCGCTAAGCGTGGCATCGATGATCAAACGAGCGGTGACAGATAGGTGGCAACGGCGGCAGCGTCGACCGGAGCACCTACTGCGGTGTGAAATGTGAGCTGGGAGGCGGGAGGCAGATGCAATAGGAGCGGGAGAGTGAGATCGTCAGCCAGCACGGCAGACCTTTACGGCGCGGCTGCGGGCGCGTTTGCAGTGACATGCGATCCATGTGGTAGCAAAGGCACGGCGGGAGTAGCGTATGCAGGCTGTGAGCGAGGGTGGCGCGTCGCGAGTGGCGGTGCAGCTAGTCGGTGGCGCGGGTGCTGGCGACCGGCGGAGAGATGCAGCCGGCGCGAGAGATGAACCCTGCGGAGAGGCGAGGTGACGGGCGAACCGCGACGGTGGGAGAGGGCTGAGCATCGGCTTCACCGGAGGCACAGGAGCCTCGCACGCCCGACCGTGACGAGAGCGAACCGACGCTGGCAGGTCAAGCAGCGTCGGTTCGCTACCAACGCCGAATGGGTACCCTGCCCGGCACTTTTTCGGTGCTGGTAGCCCCCCCAAAAAACAGGCGCGCGCAGCGCGCCCAGGGGCGCCGCAGGCGCCCCAAGCGGCGCGGAGCGCCGCCGCAGGCGGCGGACAGCAGGGGCCCGAAATTAAACGCCATTTTTGGTTCCGCGGTTTTGCCACTAACATTGAAATCCGGTACAAAACGACTTAGCCGAAACAGCTGACAGACAGACAGAGAGCACACACGTTCGAGACGGGGGTGCGCCGACCGCCGTCGCGGACCCAGTAGAGCTAGATGGTCCCACAGGACGCGCCCTTAGCCTCTGAGCTCGTCCTAGACGTTTTAGGGGAAGCGTGGGCAGACCAGAACGCGGCCACGGCGACGCTCCGAGGCTGTCAGCAGCGCTGGCGGCGATCGTGGCGACGGCGCCTCGCCGCGGCAGCGGCACAGAATCGAGGAGGTGGCGTTGGTGGCAGCATCAATGAGATATGAAGGCGGCCGTAATGCTGGTGGCGCCTTCGAGGGCGGCGGAGAGGGCGGTAGCAGCGACGGCGATCGAGTCATGTGGCAGGGGTGCGAAGATGCAGCAGGGAGGCTTGAGTTAGCGACGCGGGGCGGTGGCGTGCCAGCAGGTAAGCGGCGGCGGCGGAGAGCAGGTGTGCGAACTAAAGGCCAATCTTGAGATATCCATTTTGCACCACCTTTGGATTTCTGGTACAAATTGACTTGTGGATCTTGAAGGCACGCGCAAGAGCGCACCAGGCAAGTTGACTGAACCTCGGATCTCGCTGCCGCTAAGCGTGACGTCGATGATCAAACGAGCGGTGACAGTAGCGATGGCAACGGCGGCAGCGTCGACCGGAGCACCTACTGCGGTGTGAAATGTGAGCTGGGAGGCGGGAGGCAGATGCAATAGGAGCGGGAGAGTGAGATCATCAGCCAGCACGGCAGACCTTTACGGCGCGGCTGCGGGCGCGTTTGCAGTGACATGCGATCCATGTGGTAGCAAAGGCACGGCGGGAGTAGCGTATGCAGGCTGTGCGCGAGGGTGGCGCGTCGCGAGTGGCGGTGCAGCTAGTCGGTGGCGCGGGTGCTGGCGACCGGCGGAGAGATGCAGCCGGCGCGAGAGATGAACCCTGCGGAGAGGCGAGGTGACGGGCGAACCGCGACGGTGTGAGAGGGCTGAGCATCGGCTGCACCGGAGGCACAGGAGCCTCGCACGCCCGACCGTGACGAGAGCGAACCGACGCTAACATGTCAAGCAGCGTCGGTTCGCTACCAGCACCGAATGGGTACCCTCCATGAAAAAACGCACGACGGTCAAGCGGAAAGAAATCGAGATGCCTGTAGGATTAGTGGGAGGCGAAAGGCAAAGTCGTTGCCGACCGATCGGGGGTGGAGACGGGGGAGGTGTGGGCTTGGCGGCGGGGGGCTTGGCGGTGGGGGCGATGGCGGTGGTGGGGACGGTGGAGGGGTGATGGATGGAGCGGGCGGCGACGGGGGCGGCGGCGGGCTTGGCCGGTGGCGGGGTTGGCGGCGGGCTTGGCGGTGGGGGAGATGGCGGTGGTGGGGGCGACGGAGGGGGCGGGCTGGGAGGCGGCGGCGACGGTGGAGGCGGGGAAGGAGGCGGCGGGGGTGCGAGAGGCCGGAGAGAGGCGGGACGGCGAGACGCTGGCACAGAGGGCGTGCGCGTGCTGTGCGCCTGCTCGAGGCCAGGTCGCCGTCGGCACGATGGCCCGGGCTTTGCCCCTCCCGTGAAGATGGCGACGCGGGCCTGCGCGAGCGCAGGAGGAGGGTCGAGGAGGGGGGTCGAGGCAGGCGGGAAGGGGCTGGGGTGTGGGGCGGGGCGGGGATTGGAGACGACCTGGGGGAGAGGAAGAGGGGTGGGGAGGAGGGCCGGGCACCCGCACACGGCCCGCCGCCCTTCATGAGGTGAGAGTTCCCTCGATGCGGACGAGCCCGAGGAGCGCCGCGTAGGCGTACTCGCGCAAAGATGGCCGGGTCGAACGCCGGTTTCGATGGGAGCGGCGATGACGGCGGTCGGGTCGATGATTCCACGTCGATGTCGAGGACGGGCCGAGGCGTGAAAGTGACAGCGCGAACGCCCTGCCATCCGGGGTCAAGTGCGTCATCTGGGTGCTTGGGTGAGATGCACCCACGCGGGGCGGCAAGGCAGCGGCGATTTTTTCTTTTTTACCAAAGATAACGCACGGGCCCTCAGCGGCGAGCTGGGAATAGGACCGCCGCAAGCGGCGTGGCGTGGAGCGGTTGAGCATCCCTCCGGGGGCCCCTCTGCGCCGGGGAGGCGTTGTTGGAGGCTAGGACGCAAGCGTCCGTCGCCCTTTTCAAACTCGGGGCCCACTCCGCTACGCTCCGACCCGAATTTGGAGGGCCTAAAAGTTTAAGGTGTTGCTGCGCAAAAGGGGTCGGACACAGGGCGCAGCTCATGCTAAGAGCTAGAAGGGGAGCTAGAGAGAACGACTACCCTGTCCCGTTATTGCGTACACCAACACCACAAAAGCTCTCTCTCTCCTGTCCTCACTCAGAGCACAGAGGGGGGTCACAACTATCGAGTCTCTCGACTAGCTGCCACGTTGCCGACCGAGAGCGGATCTCCTCCTGCTCCGCAAGGAGGGTGGCCAAGGCTAAAGTCTTGTCGGGCGTGTTGACGACTTGGAGAAGGTCGCCCTTGTACTTGTACTTGTACAGATGCTCGAGGGGGTGCTTTGTGGGGCGGTGCGCAGCCAGGCCAGCAGTGAGGGGAGGCGCACCCTCACTCTCCTCGGTTGCAGAGCTCGTCGGAGGCTGCGTCACGACGGGAGGGTCGCGACAGCAGTCCTCGGGCGAGCCGACGCGCATGTCCAACCAGCGCTGGGACTCGTTGTGACGGCAGACGCCGGCTGCCTCTCCAACCGCTTCTGCAGCGTCCTTCTTTGCCCGTGCATGGGCTCGATCCGATTCCGCAGCGTGTCGTCCCCAGCGGCGGTGCTGCGCGGGAGGCGGTCGCGGGCACGCTGGGCTCGATCAGCTTTCCCTAGCACGGATTTGGCAGACGTTCTTGGCTTCAATTTTACGAATGTCTTGGCACCAGCTGAAGGCTTGCACGGCGCAGATCACATGGTTTCTGCACGGTATTTCGGATTTTGCTCGTGTGGGGGTATATTTGCAGATTTGTCAATGGTACCGCGTCTGCGACGCGGGCGCCTTGCGGGCAGACAGAGCCCTTAGCCACCCTTTATATCTTGCGCGGCCATTAAATGTTTTTCGGCCATCACAGATCACACCCGACGACCTCGGGAACTAGCCGGGCGGGGCAGTCGGAGAAGGGGCAACTCCGTGCACTGACGGTCGGCCGTCAGAAAACACGCCTCCTGGCTCGGGTTACACCAATCCTCGCTACCCAACGCGGCCAAAGGATATCCACCTCGAGAACCTCGAGAACCTCGAGAACCCAACGCGGCCAAAGGATATCCACCTCGAGAACCTCGAGAAGGCTGTGAACCAGAAGGTGCCGCCACTCTTGCGACTCGCACTCAAAAAAGCAGAAGCGCAGTGCTGCGTGTGCGTCTCGAATCAGGCTCATATCACCTCAATCTCACCGTAGGCGCTCGCGCCCGACATATTCAACATCTACGAAGGGCGAGATGCGTCCGAGACGAACGCGCTTCAGGGTGCTATTCGCGAGGCAAGAGCATCCGCGAATCGGACCCGATCGCCATCGCCTCTCCCGGCATTGCGAAGGCACCGCCGTGCACATTCGCTCACAACCCACAAAACAAAAACACACACACTCTCTCTCTCAACCCACCCTGTCGGCTCTGCAGGTCCCATCTCAACGTGTCAAGAAGTCATTGCAACCGGGGGAGGGATGGGAGGACGGCACGCCGCCACCACACAGGGATTTCACTGGAAGGAAGGTGTGATGCGCTAGCCGTCGCCCACCCTTGGGCGTCTGCCTCTTCCTATCTCCCTTCGCAGTCTCTCGCCGATTCTCGCTGCAACCTTCATGCCACCTCGCGGTCGTCCCACTCTCGTCGTTCTCTCCCTTGCCGAGCCCAAATCGCTGTGCGAGTCGTGATTTCTCGAGGGAGTTGCACAGACAGTCGGAGGGCCCAACTTGAGAATCGTGCTTTTTGGGTTGGGTTGGGTTGTGGCAAAACCGCGGAACCGAAAATGGCGTTTAATATCGCGCCCCTGCTATCCGCCGCCTGCGGCGGCGCTCCGCGCCGCTTGGGGCGCCTGCGGCGCCCCTGGGCGCGCTGCGCGCGCCTGTTTTTGGGGGGCTACCAGCACCGAAAAATTGCCGTTTTTTCCGACGGAAGCGCCGTCCGAGTGAGGAGTCCACTTTGAGGCGTGCAGCGCCCTGCCGCGCCCGCCGCCCAGCGCGAGGGCCGGGGCCCCGCGCCGCTGAGCCCGCCCCCAGCCACTCCCTCTCCCTCCCCTCCCTCTCCCTCCCCGCCCGCGCGACGCGTGCAGGGGCTCGCGCCGCCGCCCGAGCCGCGCCTCCGCCCTCCCCCTGTACTCTGTCGCGGCGCGATCCCCGGCCAGCATGATTGCGCGCCACCGCGCCCGCGCCGCGCCCTGCCGCGCCACGCCCGCGCCAGGGCTCCGGGACTGCGCCGCCCGCTCCGCGCTGGAATTGCCCATGCGGCCGCCGCCGCATCCTCAATTTCTCCACTCATCGGACAGACTGCCTCCGTCCGATCAGGTGCCGAGTCTGAGGTGCGCCTCGCTCTTCACCTCCATCTAGATGCCTCCATCTTTCCAACCCGTCCCCACAAAGAAACGCAAACACAGCCCACTTCCCTGGCGGGGCGCGTACCACGGCTTCGCACGAGTCGCGCGGCCTCCCGCCGAGAGTCGACGCGCCCAATCCGCGGCACGAGGGCCTTCGAGGTCCCATATTGCGACGCCGGCCCGACTTCGCAAGCCGCGCGACGCCAATCGTCTGCAGCCCCCCCCCCCCCCCCCACTTAATAAGGTGCTCAATCAAATGCCTTCATATCCACAGAAAAAAAAAGCCACCCCGCGCGCGCAGCACAAAATTTAAAACAAGGTAAGTACCCCGTCCTAGCACACAGACTCGCTACGC